GTATAGATATACGGTGAGTGATGGCGATGACGACGTTGACGCCGGCTGCGAAATACAGCCGAGCATTTTTGTATAATTGCTATCGCAATAAAAAAACGTTACTTATTTTTATTTAAGTATAACGAAGATTCAGGGCTGCCGCAAAGGAAGGCACGGGTGATAAAATAAAAGTTAATCTGGACCCATTTCATAATATGGCTTAGTGTTTCAAATTGTTCCCTTCCTTTTGTGTGGTTTTCAATCGCCGCTCTTTTGGATTTCTGACGTGCGGTGGGTATCGACTACCGGGTTCATCGAAGAGAGTGCTGGGAGAGTAGTTCAGTTCCGTAAATACGATAGCACCGGCGCCGCATTACTACGGGTGACACCAGATGTTGTGATGTCAAGCTTCGGAAGCAGAAAATGCATGATAGCTTCACTTATTTCATAATAACGAAGTGCATTTGCGCTGTATTTATTTCTGGTTCACACTGACGTACGGTCGCGGGGAAGAGGTCTTTGCTGGCTAGAAAATGAAGCCGCAGTCACGAGATGCCTGAAGAAAAAAAAAAACTTAACGCGATAGCGTTAAAGGGCTTGTTTTGCAGAAATTCTGGTGTCGGCGGTGTAGGTGACGGTGTCTTTAGTTGCGAGAAAAAAGCAGCGTTAGCCGTGTGCAAGAAATTGAAGTAGATTGGAGCCCGGAAGCGATTGCTTTTTGGGTTTCTTCGCGGCACTATTTAGGTCTCTACCGAGAAGCGAAGGAAGGCTACCGATTGGGAAGACGATATAAAGTGTGTGTGCGTAATGCGTGTACGCGTGTTTGTTTGTGTATGTGCGCTTTTGTGCGTTTTGATATAGCTATAGTGTTCATGTTTCAACGGCGAAGCATAAGGGTCCCAATAAACAAACAAAAAAATCCCTCATACCCCAATGACGACCCCGTGACGTCAAATTGTGACTTCCCATTATAACATCGCCATATGACACCGGCACTTGGTAAAATTTTACATTGTTCAAGTTGCACTTGGTGCGCCGATCTCGGAGGCTGTACTAAACCACGTAACGCGCTGAGTATAGAGTTTCCAATAGTTACGTTATAGCAAACTCTGGCGCTAGTGTCTATGGGGGCTGCAACGCATGGCGCTTCAGCCCGCATTGGAACGATGGGTGGTGCACGAATTCGTCTAACCTTCGTTTTTTCGGTTCCGTTTGCTCCATGTGGCCTGAATTCACTTTGCCGCATGACGAACTTCAGCAAAGGTTTAGCACGTTGTCTTCATCAACTTTATCTTTTTAGGCTCGCCAATTCAAATTGGCTGATGAAGTTCTGAACAGCGAGTTATTTTGCTTGAACCAAAACCGTAGTGGAACGATAAATGAAGGCGCAAGTGCGTTCAGAGTGGTAAGCGCGAAGGCTCGGTAAATTCGTGTATTACCCATAATTTACATGGTTGCTGAACAATCGCAGCAACAAAGTCTCCTGTAGTTAATCATAGGAAAATTTATAGTGCAGATAGTTTGCACTACCTAGATTCATGAAGGCAGCAAAAAACTATGTTAGGCGCAAGAAGCTTTCGGAGGGATGAGCTCAGCACATCAACTAAGATGGCGTTCGCTTTCGAGTCGTCGTAGTCGAATGAATAAAGGTCTTGCGAGTTATGTACTCTCGTCGTCCTTTCCCCGAGCACAGTGTTTGGTGTCTCTGACCGACCATTCAGTGTTCCTCCAATAATCTGGCCCTTTTGAAGCTTCACCCGACCACAACCCAGGACTGGATTGCTTATACAAACATGGGAGAGTCCATTGCCCTACAGTGGTCGCAGTCATGTTGCTGACTGCGCGCACTGCAGGGGAGTCCACATTCTGGTGTTTAGGAGGATTATGGTGAACGAAACTACAAATGACTGCTCCACAGTTATGACTGCCCAGCAGCAGGAAACGCTGAACGAAACCAGCAATCTTTAGCTGTGACCTCAATCGCTTTGCGCCGGCTTGGGCAAGCTGAGTCAAGTACTCAAGGCTTGGTCTCACGACATGGAGGTATTCAAAGCACATTGAAGACAGAACTTCTTAAGCGCATTTTTTTCTCGCATGGCGTGCGGGACAGACATATTTAACATGCACAAAAACACTCAGGCGTGTGCCGAGTGCATGAATATGAAGTTAACAAAAACGGAGCAAAAAAGACAATGACTCTGGGGCACCAGCCACATTCGTTTTTGTTCTCTTCAGGCTTAGCTGACTTGATAAAAGCACGCCGCGTGCTGGAAAGGGCAGAAAGTATTAAAACAAAAGCAAGGCACTCAGTGTTGGGGAAGGCGGTTGCAGTCACGCGATTGCGTACGGGGCAGGAGAGTCGTAGCGAGGGAAAAAAGAAGGAGAGACCTGAATCTTATTGTTGGGTCGACGCCGATGAGATCGACGGGAGGACAACACAACCACACAGGGGACAGGTATTGAGGGCACTGGGAGGAGGACGCGTTTGTTTGCCGATGTCGTGGCAGTCGCTCGATGATGGCCCAACGCTGAAGCACTCAGCTCCGCCGAAAGCAGGCCCTTGCCGTGCTGGGTGAGACGCGTTTCAAACGGGAGGCTTTCACCCACCGAGTGCATACGCGCAGCCGGTGGCCGAAATGGAAGGCTGAAATTAACGTCCTTTCTGATACGAAGGCTTTCGAGCGTTCCAAGGATGGATGAGTCCAGCACGAGCACGCAGCCTGGCACTATTTAGGACGGCCGACAACCGCAAGAGTCCGCCGGCTATCGTACTGGAGCTTTTTTAAAACTGGAGCTATAGAAAAAAAGATCTGAGGAATAGATTTAGGGTGCATTCTCCTTCTATTTATCATTTAGATGACCTCTTTCACTTGCAAGGCTTGTCTACACAGTTGATGTGGTCATTATTCGCAAATCTAACGTCCACAATGTGGCATTGTAATTCTCGACACTGTATATCTTCAGGTCATTGGTCATTTTTATCGTCAGTGCCTCAGCAGTGCGCGCTGTTACACGTCCTTCTTACATGTCTGAGCACACGCGAGGGTTTATTCGCGCAGCTTGTCTGGAGAAACCGTACAGCAGAGAGTTCATGCAAAGTTATGTGGGGGAAGCTGCGGGGTCGGTTAATATTTCTCTGGCTTGATAAGAATAATCTGTTTGTTCTGAAGAGCATGTACTATTTGACAATGCCGTAAGCTGTTTTCTTATTCAAGCGAGATGCGCGAGTGTCGGGTTATTATTTCTTATCAAAGAAACAAATAAGATATATAATAGAAACTTTATCTTCGTCTCAGTTTCACCACAAGCAGTAAAGTCTACGAAGATGCGCGCTGTTTTTTGTGTATTCAATTACTTTAGGTTAACGAATAAAGGAAAATTTTAAGAGCTGTACTGTGCACGATACTCAAGCCTGAGCGACGGTCGTAATACGCAGCTTTCACCGTCCACTTAGTATATTGCAGTGCTCATGACTAAGCACCACGTATGGTAATATAGTTAGCTCTGGCACTGAAGAACCTTCAACGTATGGGTTGTCACGCTGTGCATTGTGTCTAGCTAATGTGCATGTGTATGTATTTTTCTAAATGGGGCATACACAGGACACACACTGGTTGCCTAATTGTTTGTATGCCTGGGGACAGACTTTAGAAATAAAAAAAACTCTTTGTGTGTTTGCGTATGACGTAGAGCTCAATATAGCTGTCACAGTTGCGGGGACTATATAGTAAAACAGCGTTTAGAACATGGCTTCAAAAAAAAAAGGTCCCGCATCTACATGTTTGAGGGCAAATGTCGTCGAAAGACGATAGTCTTCCGTCTGGAGAAAGTGAAAAAAACATTTCTTTCATATTTTGCGCAAGAAAATCGGTGAATGGGAAGGCACTGTGTGAGACATGAGCGCTAGGTGGCAGTAATCTTGAAAAACGAAAGGATGACCTCCGACATAGCGAGGGCGCGGCGGGCGCGCGCAATCTCGGAGGCCATAATTTGTAGAATGCAGTGTGAGTGGCTGTACCATATCGTCTTAGAAAAACGTAGGATGGATAGAAGAACTCTATTTTGTAGCCCAGAAAAACGTGACTAGCACGCAGTAAACGCCTTTCCTTTCGTGCATAGCATTGCATTGTTAGTACAGCCTAATAAACGATATGGTTCCTAAAATTACTTATGTATGCCCTTTCTGATAGAAAGAAGCGCACCACAGAATTATGACGTGTTGATATTGTTCGAAAAATATGCACAATATTTTCTCTTTAATCTACGCTCGCACAAGTATGAACGCAGAAACCAGATCGCTATTCACGGGTGCTGGGATGAGGGTGAACATAAGCGGTTGCAGTTAACAGATAGACAAGTCGAATGAAAGATACACAGGCAGGCCTAAACTTCCGCGTTGAAGTATCCAAAGAAAGTCTATTGTTTTTATAATTCCACAACCGATAGCTTCAGAGTTCATAGGTTACAGTGTCCTGGCAAATCCACTCAATAAATGTCCACGTTTCGAAGTGTTGCAGTCAGTTCCTCGATAACTACATAACAATACAGTGCTGCAATATTTTAGCCGTTGAATTGCCGTCTTATTCCTGCGTGAACAGCGTGCTCGAATTTTGCGAATACCTTAGCAAGATACATGATTCGGCTTGTTGGCACTCCGTGGAAGCTGCTACAGCGCGAATCCAAGACGACAGACGAGAGAAGGTGAAACACACAGGCGCTAGTGTGCGTCGCTTGTGTGTGTCGCATTCCCTTGTGTGCCGTTTTTGCAGCTTGCGCTGTAACAGTTTCTACGAATACCGCTCATATTCTTCACTATAGGAATAACAGTATATTTAAGGATAGCATTAAGGAAATTAATAGACTGGGCCAGAACGAAGGACCTATCCAAATGTATGCAAACAGAGACAACGCGTATTCAGTACGCACACTTTTTTAACAGATTACGAAACGTGCTGACCATGCCTTGCGCATACCCACAGATTTGCCATACGGCGGGGAGCAGGAGGCGACGCGGGCGGAAGATGGGGTGCGGGCCCTCATGCTCGGTGACGGCATGGCACCCCGAGACCTCGGCGCACGACCACGCGGCTGGAGGTCACAGCCCGCGGGCAGTTCGCGTGTGGCCCATACGTCCGGCGGCCCGGGTGGGCCCCGACGCCTCGGGCTACCGGTCGTCACAGGGCCTGGCCCAGGACAGCTGCTGCCGCGCTGACGACACGGCGGCCCGGCCGGACTCGGCGTACGAGGCCAGCTCCGTGGCCTTCGAGCTCCCCGATGTACACTCGCTTCATCCACTCCGAGTCACGGTGAGATGACAACGATGACAAGAAGGCTTCCTTGCGCTTGGCAGGCATGACGTGGTTTGCTATATGGTTTGTGCCACCATGTCATTAGTACATTAGCGCTTTTGAGCTTTGGCATGGTAACTTTACTGAAGCAATGCACAAGTGTAGGTAACAGAAGAAATGAAGTAGAGGTTGAAATGAATAGGTGAAAACTAAGGTCAAGATGTCGCTATCACATTTCAGCCGATTATTTAACGTGGAACGCACCCTAACAGAGTGTTGGGTAGACATTTCCACAAACTTTATGGGAATGGTTCTCAAATAGGGGGTCCGCGGAACCGAGAGGTTTCGCGAAGGCAAATGGTGGTTTGAGAATCCCACCATAAAAAAATAGCACTAGTTTTTTTTTCTTGGCGGCACAATATATGTGCCGTGACAACGGTGTCTTGATTTTTCGGTATGTTTCGCCGCATAATATGTGTGGCCTCTGGAGGATCTGGCTTATTTTAGCACTTTCTTTTCTTTACAGAATGGATTTTAACGAAAGTGTAACAAAAGCCCTAAATGCATTGTACTTTTCTTCGACGTACAAATGCTGACAGACTTTTAGGGGCGAAGCTTCTCTGAGTCTAACTTTGTCATGCGTCACACGTAACCGAGAGAAGAAGAGACGAGAAAGAAAAGAAGGCAGCATTTTCTGAACAGTATAATAGCGGACGCTGTCTCATAGAAGCACATACAAACTGCAGTTGATTGAGAAAAGTCTAGACGACGCTGTACCGCTGCTCTCCGACTCGCTGCTGCACGACTGTGCCTGGGTAGCTAGAGAACGAGTGCTTCTCTCAGTCTTCTGTATAGCCACCGTACGTGGTGGATCGTTGGTAGGGCTTGGACAAAGCAGAATGGCGGGTACGTTGAAGACGCTTGCGCTCGGCTTCCTTGGCTCGCGTCTCGTCGGTGTTACCAGCACGCCATCTGCATTCTCGAACGCGATCGGACGCATGCTTGAACGGACAGAGACATGGACGGTGTTATGCCAGCGAGTCCTCGTCAAACGTCCGTGCCTCTGAAAAAGACAATCTGGGTCAAGGCCAGCCCGCAGTCCGCCTGACGCGAACATCTCAACGGCGTGAACACGCGCGGCGCCTCTCTGGCCCACGTGCATTGAGTCAGCGGCGCACGTGACAGCGAGCCGGCGTCCTCGTGTCTGGTTGTCTGACGCATGGCGCGGCGACCCCATTGGAGGAATCTGCCCTGACGACCAGCGGCGCTTCTGATTGGACATTTTGGTTGGACCCGGTGTAAATAAAAGAAGCCCTGCGGCGCGTCGCGATCGGAGGTCCTATGAGAGAGGAGTCCCCATGTCGGAGAGCCGACATGTGTGTGAGTCGGCGGTCTTAGGCGAAAAGCTGACCTATGTGTTAGAGAGGAGAGCTCGGCTCTTCGAGTCTCTGTCGGCCCCCGTGCCGAAATTGTAACGCCTCTGTATATATGCTGTACATAAACCTTATTTAACTCACCGTCGTCTCGTCCGCTCGTCTTATCAGCTCTGCGCAGAAGCAGTCGCGAGCTGAGAAACATACGCTACCAAACGGCTGGTGACCTTCCCGGCGGAGTTGGAAGCAGTGGCGCCTACAGGACCGTGTTGGCGTCGCCGTCTTTTGCAACAGTGGAGGTCAGCGGTGAGATTTCGGAGGTGGCTTCGCAACAGTGGTGGCTTCGGCGGGACCGGTCCGTCGTGCGCAACAGTGGTTGGCAGCTGCGGGATCGGCCGGCGTCAGCGACATCGATGCGGTGAGTGCCTGATGTTTTCCCCTCAGTTCACCAGACTACTCTAGCTCAGGTTGTAGTAGTTTAGAGAAGGGCTGTGTGAAGCATTAGAGTGAGCTTTGATCGTTTCAAGCAAAGTCGAAGTGCTTTGAAACCAAAGTTAATGCGGAGGGGGTAAACACGGGAGAGTGAAAAATTGCTTGCGCGTCTTGCTAGTTGACTTATAGTGGGTACGGCAAGTAAATTGTTAACAGGGGCAAACAGCAAGAGGCTAGTGTGAACGATGGAGAACCTTAAAGTGAAGGAACTCATCGAAATTTGTGAGGAACTCGGCATTACTTTGGGCCGTGCGAAACGAAAGCAAGCGATCCTTGAAATCGTGAAGGATGAGGGAGTGTCGGCTGAGGAAGTCGATGAGGCCTGGGTGGATATTAAAGCACGCCGTGAGGAAGCTGAAAGGCGAGAAGCTCGCGAACGTGAAGAAAGGCGAGAAGCTCGCGAACGTGAAGAGGCTGAAAGGCGCGAAGCTCGCGAAGAAACTGAAAGGCGCGAACGTCGCGAGGAGGCCGAGAGACAGGAGCGCCTCGAGATGAAACGAATAGAATTGGCAATCCTACAGTGTTCGCAGGCGCCTAGCGCAGCTTCTCCGACGATTCAGGTCAGCGGTATTAGAATTCGGGATCAACTGCCACCGTTCGTAGTAGGCGAGGACATGGCGAAATATCTCGTCAAGTTTGAACACGTCTGTGAGCGAAATGCTTTGGAGCAGTCTCTTTGGGCGCGGAACCTGCTAGCTCTTCTTCCCGGCGAAGTGTCCGACGCATTAACTTGCTTGTCTAGGGAAGCGTTTGAGAGCTATGACGAGGTTAAGGAAGTGCTCTTGAGACGTTATAAGTTGTCACCCGAGGCTTTCAGGCAAAGGTTCCGGTATGCTGAAAAGGGGAATGAGTCACACGTTGACTTCGCGTTTCGTCTTAAAGCCGATTTGATTGAATGGCTCAAGGGCGAAGGTGTTTATGACGACCGCGATAAAGTGGTGGAATGCGTTGCATTGGAGCAATTCTACCGCTGCATCGAGGAGGATGTCAGACTTTGGATGCAGGACAGACTTGGGGAAGTACAGTTAAATAAGGCAGCTGAGTTAGCTGAGGAGTATTATATTCGCCGAAAGTTGCATAGCAGGGCAGTGCGCGTTGAAAAGGATGAAAGGAAAGAGGGCTTTTCAAGGAAACCTGATCAACGGAAACCCGTTCCGCACCGTAATTTCAAAAAGGACCCGTCTCTTACGAAGGACAGTGTAGGGGAAGGACAAACAGAAGCGGAGAAATCGAGTGAGGTTTCTACCACACAGGCATTTGAATCGGAAAACAAACGGAAGCCGCTAATCTGCTACAACTGTAAAAAGGAAGGGCACATCGCGAGAAACTGTCAGGAAAAGTTTGCCTTCGCAACGATCCGAGAATCAGAAAAAAACATTCGGTTGTTGGAGCCGTATCTCCAAGAAATTAGGGGCAATGAGAAAACGTGCCGAGCACTTAGAGACTCAGCGGCAACCATGGACGTTGTCCATCCTTCATTGGTGTCTCCGGATGACTTCACAGGAGAATGCACGTGGATCAGGCAAGTCGCCGAGGAGCAGAGTGTTCGCTTACCAATCGCCACGGTTGTCATTGAAGGCCCGTTCGGTAAGCTTCGCACCGAAGCGGCTGTGTCTGCCGCGCTGAACGATCGTTTTCCTTATCTTTTCTCCAACAACTCGGAGCAGCTCCTCAAAGAGCAGGACAAATCGTTCTTCCCCAACTTTGCGTGCATGGCCCTCACGCGATCGCAAGCGCGAAAGCTTTCGCGGAAGCTGGACCTGGTTCCATGCAGTGAACTCTCAAGTGACCTTGTCGGCGGGTCGACGGAACCCCAGAAAGGAAAGTTTCCGCATGAGTCCTGTGAGCAGTCACGCGAGCGGCCCGTCGCCGAACCGGCCGGCGCGGTCTCCGTAGAAAGGGGAGACGACATGGCGCCATTGAGTCAGAGCGAGGGGGTTGCAACGCTCTCGCCTGTAGCGGAAAGTTGGAGCGAGCTGCCGAGAGTTGATCGAGAGACGCTCATTCGAGAGCAGCGTGAGGATCTCTCGATTGAAGCGCTAGTGGAAAGCCAAATTGAAGCGCTAGTGGAAAGCCAAATTGAAGCGCTAGTGGAAAGCCAGAAAAACGCGGCAAAAGTGCTGTCGAAGGAGCACTACGAGGAATCGGTGAAGAAGCGTGCTTTTAAAGTAGGGAGTCAGGTAATGCTGCTGCAGCCGTCCAAAAGGAACAAGCTTGAGGTTGATTGGGAAGGGCCCGCCACAGTATTATCGAAGCCTTGCGATTCAAATTATGAAGTGAAATTGGGAGGGCGGCCGGACAAAATTTACAACTTGATGAAACCATACGTTCAACATCAAGCGGTCGTAAATCTGTTGTTGAATGCTTCAGTGGAAGAGGAAGCAGAAAATTTGAGTTCTAGTGAGGTAATTGAAGGGGGATCGAAAGTAATCCGGGAGCAGATAAGCCTAGAGCCTAGCTTAAGTGAAGGAGGACCTGAGAAAGATTGGTTCCGAGTTTGAAGACGTGTTTTCGGACCGCCCCGGAAACATGAGGGTGATCGAACACGATATCGAGCTAAGCGGTGAGGAGTCAATCCGTAGCAAGCCGTATCGTTGTTCCCCTGTGCAACGTCGAAAGTGTGAGCTGCTCTTGGTGCCGCATAGGTATCGTCGCCTAAAAGTGGCCGGTTACTGAAGTGGAGCATGTTGCTCCACAGCGCAACTTTGACGTTCGCTAAAGAAAAAAAAAGGAAAGGTAAACGCTAATGCAGGTGCATTGAGCAGTGCGTTCCAGCTAGTAACTTCTCAACCTTTCGGTTTCTCGCTGGCGATTCGGGGCAAAATTTTGACCTCATCACGACCTGGGCTGAGCGCTCTCGTTCAGAGTGATCTCAAGGGGCCAACTTTATGTGGTATTCTAATCCGTTACGTTGTTGTACGTGGGAAAAAAATTGAGTTGTCATTTTAAGGGTCTTTTGTCCCACATGTGCCTCTTGATGTAGAGGGAACAAAATTCCGATAGACACGTAGATAGGTATATGTTGTACTATACTTTGTCTGGTGTTCTGTCGGGTGACCGAGGGCGCTTGCTTGTGTCGTGTGTTGTTTGTTGTCGAACCGTTCTTAGCAAGTTGCAGAACCATCGACAAGTGCTGAAACCGAAGGTGGTCAG